AACTGTGGACAACTTACAGTCTCATCTATAACTGCAATCAACTCCAAACAAGGCTATATTGCTCTTAAAGCAATGATGTTTCGGCCCGCTAAGCCTTAGTTTCAGTGGTGTGCTGTTTTCATTTTTTGTGTCAAGTGGCTTTGTTTTTCTTAAGACTTTGTTAAATCATTGTTTAAAACATTTCCCCAGTAGAATGGATAATAAATGTGACAAAATGGATTTGGTGTTTTCGAATACCATTATAATACTGTATATGTAGTTGACACATTTTTTGCAGTTGAAACGTACTTTATTTTGTATCAGAAAACTGTTAAACCAAAGTGAAACATATTCTAACTACTTACGAGTGAAATATTATTTAACATTGGTGTTTGTTCATATTGTTCAAAGTAAACTCTGAGCCAGAGTGTGTCTTATGTAGAAAACGAGGAAACCTGAAAGAGGCAGCCGACATTCTATTTTTTGCTTTCTTCATGGGAAAAAATGAACTCATAAATGGTTGGCACCTAAAAATATGATATAGATTGCTTATTGTATAAATATAAAAAATCTCCATAAAAAAGAATCTCGAAGAATTCTAACAAAAATAGAGTGATTATTAGTAAATTGTTGACTAAGTTTTTTGTCATTCAATCACTCGAACTAAACGTGGTCGAGTTTTTACGTGGTCAAGGATTTCTCGTTCGTGAAACCACAAGTTTTACCTCCATCTGTAATTTTTTCTTTATTCACTTGAAGAAATAGCAGGTACTTGAGTAAGACAATGTCAATCTTGAATATGTAGATGATGGCTAGTGAACACTAGCGTGGACTGCGTCGGTGTTTCTAATGAAACAAGTTATCGTAGAATTATAAGTTKAACACCGTAGTGAAAATGGAAACAGCGGCAATCATCGCAGAACAAAAGAAAAGCGTGTAATTCATTCACTTGGCACCGTTAATCCCCACGGGATGAACGAAAGCCTTGCTTATATTTAAGTTCTTTCTCACCTATTGTTGCTTTCGATCCTTTTGTTTTCTTTTTGTTTTATGGCTTGTTTTCTTCTTATTGGTTTGTTTTCTCTATCCTCTACTATATAAACATCTCTCTTACTCTTACTTTCTATTGACTCCGACGAAGGACTAACGTCCGAAACGTCAGTTTCCGTTTTCACTACGGTGTTCAACTTATAATTCTACGATAACTTGTTTCAATCTTGAATAACTCACCTTAAGAGAACTTCATTCGTCATTTATGATCTTAAGTCATTCAACATTTGCTCGTGAGATTCATTCGAGGAACAAAAATTGAAAAATTCACAAACCATTATGCCTTGCTGCACTCCCCGAAACTACGGGACTTTCTCCTCGTAGTAGAATTTTGAAGTGAAGCTAAGARCTACGCCTCCTTGTACCATTGGCTAATGCCATCCACGTGAAAAGAAAGCCGAATGTGATTGGATACGATAGAAAATAATGACACTACAGCTGATTGACAGCTTCACAGAATACTATGGGTTACCCAAACTGATCTTAGTAGCTTTTGAAAAATAAGTCTCAATCGAGCGGAAATCGAGCAACATTTTTTCGCTGGCGGGCTACCTGTATATTAATCTTGAAGACCTTCAGTAACGATACGTTTATTATCAGTGCATAATTATTATACGAATAATTACGATTCATAATACTGTATAGTTAATCCGATACAGATTTTTTAAAAACAACGTTGAATTAGCAACATTTTAGGTAGGAAATTTGTGTTCATTCAGAAATATATATGAATTTGTAAATTTGATTAAGGGACTAGAGCCACTATGGCGGGGAAATACGATGAATTAAAACCAAATGTTTTCAGGTTAAAGTGAATCAGTAAACGTCGATATTTTTTGATTAAATAAATTAATCTCGCCATTTTCAGTTAACTACTGATCAGGTCTTAATGAACTTAGTCACATCGGAGTCATTTTGTATTACACTCAAAACTGATCTTTGACTTTAACGAGAAAATCTTTTGAAAAGTATATTTCCCGAAACATATGATTTTAAAATTAAAAATTAAAACTAATTTATTTCGAAAATATCTGAGGTTTGTAGCATTCTTCGTATCTTACCCGCTAATCGCAAATTTCCCACACAAAAGAGCCACCATTTACTAACGCTTGTCAAGACTGGTTCGGTGTCATTTAATTTTTGTGTGAACTTTGATCAATGAATTACAAGAATTAGAGCTAAAATCAATATCCTGTTCTTCTCCATCCATCATTACCTTCCCAACCAAAGGATTACCAATAATCAAAGGCTTGGCATCGCTGGTTTGGTCTGTTGGGAAGTCTTCAAAGTGCTTTAAAGTCGCTAATGAAGGAGCAAGTCTAATGCGCTTTGTCTCTGATAAATACTTTCCCGTGCTAGGATCTCGTAAGGCGGGAAAAGGTACTTGGCATACGGGACCATCGGGGAAAAAAACCTCTTCTTGCTTCGACGATAGTATTCTATAAAGAAACTAGGGTTCTAAATACAACAACTGATAACCTATCTATTACATCCTAGCAACACACAACCATGAAGAATAGATCATGGTAAAAGAACTTCTTCCAGCCGTTATCTTTGTAGTATTATTACAGGGTTGTTATTAATATTTTCAGTTATGAAATTGAAATAGGCGGGAAACCGGAAATCACTGGAGCATGTAATCGAGGCATACTTGTCACCAGTCTCACTCTCCTCACAAAAAATCAAGATTGCGGACAACGATCTTTGTAGTTTCCGATGGTTTGCGTTGCAGTTTTCGTAGTACAGCAACAAAGATTGGGTTAAAATTTATTTTATTCACACATTTTGCCAGTTTAAAGAACTTTAATCAAGATTTACAATTACATGTGGAAGTGGCTGAGTAGGCGGCCGAATTAGCAAGAGCAGACGGATGAATCTGCCGTTTGCCGGCTTCTATTGGTTAACACATCGGACTAGAATACCGAAGACGTGGGTTCGAATCCTGCCAAGGGCATTGATATTTTTCTCTTATTCTCTCTACTTCATTGTATACACACCGAACGCATAATTTATCACTGTTATTATAGGAGTTGGTATTCATATCCTGTGTGACACTACATTAACCCTTTGATGTCCAGCGTTTGCCATGTACAATCATTTCCAATCGTATGCTATATGTTGCTATTTGTTAGTATCATTTACTACCGGTTAATAAAACTGAATTATCAGTCGAGTTCTTTGTTCTTAGGGAGTGTTCATCATTTATGAAGAGAGTGCGCTATGATGATTTTAGATTTTTTCCCGTACAGTTTTTGGAAGCCCCACTCCCTCTCCCTAAAATGTTTTTTATCTTTTTCAGCCCGCCCCCTCCCCCCATACCATATCCCCAAGCAAAAGGTTAAAACCATAGAAACGCTTCTCGATTTTATGTTTAATTTCAACAATTTGGGTTAAACTTGTTGCAGGAATAAGCAGGTTCGGAAGGATGGTTTGATATCTGTGGTGAAGGTTTCTAAGAAAAATAACAGTGTAATATTGAAAAAGGTATACTCAAATCTTAACTTAAATTACTATGTTGATATTTCCTGATGGTTATGATCCTAAGGTGAAGATAATACGAGGAAAAGAACTGAAGAGATTAACTGACCATAAACGTGTGATCGACCGACAGTTGTTTGCTTATTCCGCGAGAACTCTGGCGACGCACAGGCCTATGTGTAACTGCGAGCCGCGGGAAGATTCGTTGTAACAATAACCCCCCTACCCAACTCCAACCACCATCAATCCAAAGCTTCTGAAATGACAAGTCACTATACAGAGTCTGAAAATTTAATGATCAACTGTACTACAAAAAATATTTCCCAATTAGAAGTGAAAGGCTATGTCAATGAACAAACCATCTTGACCCTGGAGTTAATAAACAAGTCATTATGAATGATTTACCATTGGTCAATGATAGGTTGTCTATTGACAAGTCATTAAAACAAAAGGTTTCCTTACATTTGTTATTTACAGAAGGGTTAACAAATATGTTTCTATTTCTACAATGTTTTTCCCTTACATCAGTTTCCCTTGATTGTATTTTTCCCTTCTACATATTATTCCGCCTTCGAGAACATTCGCCCTCGAATGTCACGAAGAGAAGATAAAACTACAATTAGAATCAGGTGTACACTGAGCAGTACTCGCTTAGCTTGACCAAGCTATATGACTGGACTCATGCAGGTAGTCTGCATGCCAGGGGTCTACAATATATAGAACAAGAATATTAAATATAGTGTTATATTCCTTAAATTACCCGCTAAATATCAAAAACATCAATAATAATATCAATAACATGAAGGAACAGCATGCTTTTAACATGAAGAGAGAAAAAAAGGGGTTCTCAAATTAAAATTTGGTACTACCAAGATAACCACAAGAAGTGCGAAAAGAATACCCACGCTTATGTTCTTTTCTGGAATGCACGGAAAAACATGTACTAGCTACTTACAGGTGTAGTTAGCGGCGTCAAGGGTTGGTTTCTTGGTTTACCTAAAATATACGTGAACCGTATTGGACGACCGTTCACCAGCGGCTGGTTACGCCAAGTCAGCTTGCTAGCGAAAGACGTAACGATTAAAAATTAAACTAGACGCATATCTGCGTGAACTCGGGCTTTATAGCAGAAAATCTAAAGAATTCTTCGTAAACATTGTCACCCTTTTAGATGGTGCAAAATCACGTGTGCTAAAAATGTTGAGGGTGTTGGACTCCATATCATTCATTACTTGAAACAGCAACGAGACCTTCCTCATATCCGCCATTACTCAAGCATGTGCTCAAGACTGATTCTACGTATTCGCATAGACTTTGATTTGACGCATGCGCCTTAGGGCTTCGAGGGCGATTTTTTCCAAAGCCCGAGTAATTATTGTTTCCTAAGAAAGATGTTCCACCGACGACTGATTATACCAGTCAAGTCCGGTTAGCTTTTTGTGTAATTTGAAGCCCTACTTCCTAAAACAAAAGTATAAATAATCTTCTCTCTCCTCTTGTTAAATTCATGTATGTCTAAAATACCACGTCTTCTTCTTAAAAATCGAATTAGCGATTCCACTTGAAATACTACTTAAATAACGCTTCTCTGGCGTTCAAATATTTTGTGATTAAAACTTGAATTGTCGCTCATTAAAACTTGAATTGTTTTTAACTACTTTTCTTATCTTAGTTTTTGAATTCCTGCAATAAAATACTGCAATGCGTAACAATATTTTCCCGACCTCGAAACTCAAATCCGATTCTATCCTTACTACTTCCACAAGCTTTGGAAAAAGATGTCTTATTATTATCTTTACAAAAGTATTAGGCTCATGTATTAACTCTATGATTTTCTGCAGCTGACGTTTATCTTGTCAAAATTCTCATTGCCCTAAAAGTGAAGTTTTCTTAATCGAACATTGCATTGCATGGAAAAAGATGACTTATTGTCTTTACAAAAGTATAGGCTCATGTATTAACTCTATAATTTTCTGCAGCTGACGTTTATCTTGTCAAAATTCTCATTGCCCTAAAAGTGAAGTTTTCTTAATCGAACATTGCATTAACTTTAGAGTTTCCTAAATAAGGTACTAGCTAAGATTAAAAGTATACTAGATTCGTTATTTTCCCAACTAAACTAACCTAAAACATAATCCCTTATTAATCTACCTATAATATATACATAACTTATTATCTTCATGCAATGTCCATATTCGTTATCAGTCCTTGGCAGTTCGCGGGTCTTTGTCTTGTTTTTCAATCTGTTTCTGCTATATCTCTAACGGTCGTGTCTCTGATAGCAAGGCTTTCCATGTAGATCTTGAATACAAGTTCCTTTTTCATGAAAGAACCATGACAACTTTTCCAGGTCACTGGCTGGTGCTGGGTATTTCGTGGGCTTGAATAGGCTGTATCCTGAGCCTCCTTGTCTGTATTAGCTGTCCCTTTTCGGGAACTTCGTACTCGGGATCTCCACCACTTATGTCACGTAGGGGAAAGTGGAGGAGTAATACTTTCCCAAACGGACACAAAGATTCTGGTCGCTTTTTGTTTCCTTCTTCTTCTTTATTTCTGCTACTTTTAGAACTTTACAACGAACTCATCTGAACTCTGGTTATGACTCTTGACTAGTTGCGACTTCAACTCTGACTAACTCCAACAGTAATTCTACTGCAACTCTCGTTGAACTATAGCTCTAAGTGAGCTCGTATTTAAGGGCTAAGCTCACGTAATACGTCACATAACTGGTTTGTACTAGGTCAAACTAGATTAGACCAGTTAGGTCAAGTATGACGTAAGAGCTTGAGACCTGTGTTGACTTAAGGGAAAAGAACGAGCACTCAGTTCTAAGAACTGACCCTGAACATCTGTCGATGGTGTTCGCTAACTCAATTACCTCAGAACAGATTGTTATCAAAATATTTCAAAGTTACAAATAAGATAATTCTAAACAAGAGAACAGAAAAAAGCGTAGGAAGTAATTGTTTGTACAAAAAACAACCCTGCTCTTTTCCAGTACGCATGTACAAAATTGTACATGATCAAAACCCGTTTCCACTGAAAAAGTACTGTAGATTTGCAGCTGTTGCTTACTACAAAAAGAACTTCCCAATTAGAAGTGGAATGCTATGTCAATAAACAAACATCCTTGACCCTCAGGCTACTGAACAAGTCATTATGAATGACTTACCACTGGCCAATGACAGGCTGTCTATTGACAAGTCATTAAAATAGAGAGGTTTCCTTACATTTGTTGCTTACAGAAGGTTTAACAAATAAGTTTCTGTTTCTAGAATGTTATTCCCTAACATTTCTCATGATTATATTTTTCCCTTCTACAATGCCTGATATTTTTCTCAGATAAGCTTATAATATGTGACCTATGATGACTTGAGATCTGCCTTCACTTTTCATACCTGTAAAGAACGTGGTAAGTACGCTGCCTGTTGTTCAACCAAAGTCTAGACAGAACTTAGTTGTAATAAAATTCGAGTGGAGAGGCGTTTAGAATGGGCAATACATTCAGTCCTCGTCTTGAAGAACAAAACTACATTTGATTGTTCCATCTTCACCCATGAGAAAGAATGGTGCCCAGTACTTTGGTGTGCTGTAGCAGGAAGAGTTCCTGATTTCATTCATCGCTTGCTGTAAACTTACACTCGCGCTCTTTCCGTCCACTACTAAGCGAGTATAGAATTCAAACATAAACTCTAATGTTGCATCATCAGATCATCGATGGCCCACAGAGACGCTACCACTGCACGAGCACCTGACGCTAGAAAGGCTCGACACATGTTAACTCATATTCTAACATCATGACTTATCCAGGGCACAGAAAAATCACTTGATCCTACACGTTATCTTATATTTAGATTTGAAGATATGAGCAGCTGAAAATATATCAGTTGTCTTCTGAACTAAAAAAAGGCAGCATTTGTCATTATAATGATAAGAATGGAAAATGTTATCATTATGCTATGTTTGCAGTATTCTTTAACAATTGATTGTTACATCTTCACCCATGAGAAAGAATGGTGCCCAGTACTTTAGTTCGCTGTAGCCGGAAGAGTTCCTCATCTCGTTCATCGCTTGATGTAAACTTACACTCGCGCTCCTTCCGTCCATTAAATGAGTATAAAATGTATCCATGAACTCGAGTGTTGCATCGTCATCGATGGCCCACAGAGACGCTACCACTGCACGAGCACCTGACGCTAGAAAGGCTCGACACATGCTAACTACTCCTTCAGCTCTGATTTCACCACGTCCACTGTGACAGCAGCTTAACACAACTAGCTGTGCTCGTACTTGAGCCTTCTGTACATCAACCATGGTCAGCATGTAATCTTCTTCATCTGGGATCTTTGTTGCTCTTACTTCAGGAGAAGGTGCAAGTGCTATCCTACCTTTAGTGAGACTGCCGTGTGCAGCAATGTGAACGACAGATACTCCTTGTCGCAGCCTCTCTAGAACGGCTGGCTTTGTAGCCATGTCTCCCAATAATGGAAGGGTATTCAGTAACTTAGAAATCTTCTCGGCTTCTTTAAATGCACCCGGCAAATCTTTAATATCATCGCGTTCTTCTCCATCCATCATTACCTTCCCAACCAAAGGATTACCAATAATCAAAGGCTTGCCATCGCTGGTTTGGTCTGTTGGAAAGTCTTCAAAGTGCTTTAAAGTCGCTAATGAAGGAGCAAGTCTAATGCGATTTGTCTCTGATAAATACTTTCCCGTGCGAGGATCTCGTAGGGCGGGAAAAGGCACTTGGTATAAGGGACCATCGGGAATAATAACAACCTCGCCTTGCTTCGACGATAGTATTGTATCACACTCTAAGATATCAAATAGAACTTCTAGAGCAGATTTTCCTGTGTTAGGATCGAGGTTCGTTGCTTGATTAAGTTCTTCGTATTCTTCTATACATCTTCTTCGTTCTTTTTGAATATCTTCTTCTTTGTCCAAGGACCTGTTCTCACAGTCAACCACCTCACGAACACCCATTTCGTTAAACGACCTATCGACGTATTTCTGTAGGGAATGATAACTAGGACAACCTGAAAAATGCAAATTTGTCCCCCCTCCAATAAAAATCTTATGAAGAATAAAATGATAGAGCGAGTAAAAGGCAATGCTGAAGTCATTTCTTGAGAACAGAGACAAAACATCGCTGTACTCTAGGTGTTCATCATTGATCTCCTCTTGTTCCATCTTGAAGTTTGACATCATAAGATCTTTCAAGGCTCTTGCACGACAACGATCTAACATTAAAAGCCCTTCCTTCATCTGGTCGCCTTTGAATAAGAGAATTGCCAACAGCTTATAGCTATCAACATATTGGTCAAAAATTGAGATCTTGAATTCATCAAGACAACCAAGTGCGGTAAAGATCGCTTCAAAGCATCGTATACCTTCTCTTAGATAATGTTCTGCCAAGTTCAGTTCTCTGTTCAAATTATACAATAATTGACCAAAGCCATGATAGAATTGGGATAGGTGATGATCAGTATCAGGATAAGACTCAGCAGTAGGTAGCCCTTGTTTGAAACTGTGTAAAGCCATGTCATTCTCACCCATCAAATGATACATGTTTCCGATTGCTGTGATACAGAACAAGTTCAAAGAACAATCAACGTCCATCTCTTTAAACTGCTGTAGGTAATTGATTGTTTTTTCATATTCTTTTTTAGAACGATAAAAATTGTAAAGCTTCATTAAAGCTCTGACTTTCCTCTTTTTATCGCCTGTCTTCACCGCTTCGTCAAGATCCTGTAATAGCTCATCTTCAGAACATGTTTGTACCGCTAATAATTCCTTTACTGAGGGTACATCACACTTGTCATTCAAACCAACAAATCCATAAAGCAAAGACCTATCTTCTTTGAACTTTGCTTCAGTTTCTTCGTTTCCAAGCTCTGTAGCAATCGCCATGCCTACATCTATACTCTGAGATGCTTCATTCCACTTGAACGAGTCCATATATGCTCTAGCGAGAAAATGATGTCCTTGCGTCTCAATTTCTTGTCTCGTTTTTTTGTCGCCTATTTCTTGAGAGATGTCCAGGCATTTCTTACCGTATTGGATGACATTATCGATGTTTTCCTTATCACCTGATGCGTGGTATACAGACGAAAGACCGAGACATCCTTGTGCTTCAATTTCTTTCTCACCAGTTTCCTGTGCCATGTCGATGCATTTCTTGTAATAATGCACTGCGTCATTATATTGTTCCAGTCTCTTATAAATATCTCCTATACACAAACACGCTCTTGCCCCATAATTCTTTTTGCGGCCAATACGGTTCACAATGTCGATGCAGTGCTTGAAATTCTGAAAGGCATCCTCGTATTTCTTCAAGAAATAATATGTAGCTCCAAGTAAGCTATAAGCATGAACCTCCGCATCTTTATCGCCAATAGTTATCGCAGGCTCAATACACTTTTTGAAATAGATAATTGCATTGTCGTAGTCAGAAAGAGTGTTATATATTCGCCCCATTAATAGGTAAGCGTCGACTTCAACACGTCTGTCTTCTATCTCTCTTGCTATTTCAATGCATTTCTGTCCAAAGTCAATGGCGTCTTGATAGTGATTCAAGCCAAGATGTGCTCTTTCTAGCTCAAAGTACACGTCCGTCATAATCTTCTGATTGTTGTTTTTCATGGCGCAATCAAGGAGCTTGTGCGCATACAGAATAGTGTCATCATATTTCTGCATGTTTGCATATGCGGCTATTATACAGGTATATGCCATCATCATGCCATCAGCACTATCAATTTCTTGGGCAATTGTAAGACATTTTTTGCCACAGTCAATAGCATCATCATAACGAGCTAAGAACAAAAATGCATGTCCCATTTCATGATGTCCAGCGATTTCGTTTTCTTTATCGCTTATGGTTTGAGCTATTTCGATCCATTTCTTGGCATGCAAAACAACGTTTTCAAACTCGTTGAGCTCCTTATATGTGATGGACAAATATTTACGAACTATTAACTCATGACTTGGTATTGCTACAGCTAACGGTAATATTTCTTTCAGACACTTCAGTGAATCAGCATGTCTACCTATGCTGTTGCTATGCACTACGAACAGCACGCATGAATTCATCATGGTACTTATATCATTACAGTGTTTAGACATCTCTATGCATTCTTTGTACAGACAGATCAGCTGTTCAGTTTACAGTCCAAGTTCCTCTGGCAACATGGAAGTTGACACACAGCAAAACCTTACAAAAGTAGTCTTCTTGAACATATTCATCTTCAGCTTTACTTGTTATTCAACATTCATCTAAAATTAAACAAGAAATTGATAATTAAACAAGCGCACATTAGAACGAAAAAAATAATTTTTAAATATTGAAAATTGAAATCAAGAAAAACATTTCTGTATACATCAGTGGCAGATCCAGGAATTATGGAAGGGGGGTTACAAAGGTTTACCAGGAATACCAGGAAAAGAGTATCAATACCAAGGTCTATTGAGAATCGTGTAGATTGATGGATTGGGTTGGATTAGTGTTTTTTATGAAGTTTTTATCCTAAACTTTATACTCATGATAGATCATATAATAAAACGTAATCTGATTGGATAGATCGCATCGCGGACTGGTCTAGATTCTCCAGTATTAACCGGTCCGATCGCATATTAATCTTACGGCGAAAACATTTTGTCCTTTTCAATGAAAAGTGGTCATATAATAAAACTCTTATTAACCGAGCTTGGTCGGTCTGTACGGAATAATCTTGACCTCGGTCGGGTACAGACCTCGGTCAAGATCATCACGTACAGACCTCCCGCTCGGTTAATAAGATTCAAGTGTTGACCGTCAATTATATTAACAATATACTGAAAAACTTAAGCAAAAGGGTGTTGACTAGTCACCTACTTCACCACCCCTGAAATTAATTGACTTCTATTGAACAAAATCCATCTTTGAAAATCCATGCCAACTAAACTATCAGCTTCATTGGCTTCCTGTGACTCACCGTATTATATACAACATCCTCTTAATAACAATAAATCCCAATATAACCTGGCAACATCCTACATCTCTCATTGCATTTTCCCAATACAAACACCCAAGAAATCTAGCATCTTCATTTTCCATTCAATCAAATCTAGAAATGTCAACAATCTGATACCTGTTGCGCTTCTTGGTGCTACATCGAAAACTCAGCTTTCCATTAATTTCGCTATCTTGAATGCAAGATGTATTGTCAGAAAATCCACTCTAACCATGGTCTAGACATTCGGTTCTTAACCGAAACTTCGCTAAATTGAACAGACCCAGGGGTGAATCTAGGAATTTTTGAACTGGGGGGGAGGGGGTGACTATTACAAAGGTTTTATAAGGAAAGAGAGGAAAAGGGGGTGACGGCTACTAGCAATATACTGAGAAATATGAGCAAAGGTGGAGGGGGGTGACTAGTCACCTACTTCACCACCCCTGTATTCGCCCCTGAGACTAAGATGATCATTGCATACCTGATATCCATAACATCCTTCACAATTATACATTTCACCACGTCCCAACAAAGAACCTTCTACCTAAATTACCAGAAAAACGTCTTCCAACATGTCAGTCATCTACTCTGTTTGCAAACAATTTTGTTCACTTTCTTCAAGAACCAAATAATCAAAACTATAAATGAATTGCCTCCTGTTGAACAAAATCCATCTTTGACTAATGATCAGCGTCCTACTACACGCCAACTAAAATGTCAGCTTCATTGGCTTCCTATGACTCACCGTATTATATACAAGATCCTCTTAATAATAATAAATCCCAATATAACCTGGTTCCATGCTACATCTCTCATTGCATTTTCCCAATACAAACCCCCAAGAAATCTAACATCTTCATTTTCCATTCGATCAAATCGTCAACAAATTCCTTCTAAAACCTTATGGTTATCGTTCGTTTTCCGTATGTGAACCTGAACTGTGGAACTCTGTTCCTCCTTCCATTACATCACAATCATCGCTAACATCCTTCAAGACAGCCCTAGAAACTTATCTATTCAAACAAGCGTATAATTTGTAAATGTATCTCTGCAATTAGTTCTTTGTCTATTCTAGTATTATTCTTTCGTGCGCTTAGAGGAGCAATGAATAAGCGCATTATAAATATTATTATTATTTTTATATTTTTATTATTTTGCACGCATGTGAGCATAAGCGTATGAAATATGCATGTTTGAAATATTTAAAAAAAGTTATTATTATAAGTTATTTTTTTGAGACTTTTATGTGGTAAAGACATATGGAATGCTTCTGGAGGTTTTTAAACTGTTTGAACAGTTTTCATATTCCAACCATTCTTTCTACGCATCGTCGATCTTCAATGGAAACCTATTCTAGAAATGTCAACAAACGATACCTGTTGCGCCTCTTGGTGCTCCATCGAAAACTCACTGAGCTTTCCAGTGATTTTGCTATTTTGAATGCAAGATCTATTGTCAGAAAATCCACTCTAACCATCGAAGCATTTTGGCCTTAACAGAAACATGACTAAACGGAACGTAACAGACGCAGGGGCGGATCCAGGAATTTTAGAAAGGAAGTGACTATTACAAAATTTGACTAGGAATGCAAGGAAAAGGGGGTGACTGTTACTGACAATATACTGAGAAATATGAGCAAAGAGGGGGTTGACTAGTCACCTACTTTACCATCCCTGTATCCGCCACTGAGACTAAGATGATCATTGCATASCTGATATCCATAACATCCTTCCAAATTATACATTTCACCACGTCCCAACAAAGAACCTTCTACATAAATCACCAGAAAAACGTCTTCCAACATGTCAGTCATCTACTCTGCTTGCAAATAATGTTGTTCACTTTCTTCAAGAACCAAATAATCAAAACTAGAAATGAATTGACTTCTATTGAACAAAATCCATCTTTGACTAATGATCAGCGTCCTACTACATGCCAACTATAATGTCAGCTTCATTGGCTTCCTCAGTGACTCACCGTCATATTATATACAAGATCCTCTTAATAACGATAAATCCCAATATAACCTGGCTACATGCTACATCTCTCAATGCATTTTCCCAATACAAACCCCCAAGAAATCTAACATCTTCATTTTCCATCCAATCAAATCGTCAACGAATTCCTTCTAAAACCTCATGGTTATCGTTCGTTTTCCGTGTGTGGCCCTGAACTGTGGAACTCTGTTCCTCCTTCCATAACATCACAATCATCGCTAACATCCTTCAAGA